AGCTCTTCTGACAAATGCTTCACCAGATACATATTGGGGACATATTAGCCCCCTGACCCCACCCGCTGCGTTGTTGTCGCTGAGCAGGCCAACGAACACATTCAAGACTTTCTTCTCTTCAAATATTTCCAACTGATGAGCTCACAATTTATAACAGAATTTCTTGTAACTGATGTAATTGATTATTAACACGCAAGCATGGAACATTTCACCGCCTTCTGCTACTCGAGTTCTGAAGATCATCCAGTTCTTTCTATGTGATGCCTCAGACTCTGTTCATTTTTATTGAATTTATTAAAGCTGCTGAATTTTAGCCCATTTTCATTTGCCTCCCTTGAGTCTAAATTAACAGTTAAGCTTCTAATTATGTACCGCTATAACCAACTCAGGCTGAGGAAACAGTGATGTCTATTTTGTAAATTCATGCCTGTGTTTGTATGCCTAACCCTCTACCCCCATATTTTATGCGTACTCAGAATAAGATGCCATCAAACATAACAAAAGATTATCTGATGAACCATTCAGCTATAATGCTTATCTAAATTGAATGCTGCGTGAAATAAATTACAGTTTGCTAAAGAAAATGAAACACATTTTACCTTACACTAAAAACTGCATTTACTCCCCAAATCAATCATGTTTCCCAAGGTTGATGAATCAGCTGAAATCTCTGCTCCTGTAAGCACCAGGCTCTGGCTTGGAAGGTGGGGACAGATAGCTTCTGCACTAGTTTATTTTTATCTGTGGAATGAATCCTCTCTTGAAAGAAGGCACTTGTGCCCAATGACTATATATACTTCTTTTGCTGCGCTTTCCACAATTTCTTTCTTTTGTAGTTGTTCTGTTTTCATCAAGCACTTCCGAAGAGTACATGCAGTCCTTGTGAGGGGTAAGGTGAAGTGGTGGGTAGCGTGATGCCCTCCGGGTTCTTGCCTGAAACAAATCTGCACAAGCGGTTCCTGAAGGAGCACGTAACTTGCGGCAGCTTGCCAGCAAGTGTACTCCTCGTAGAGAGAGTGCCAAAAGACCGTTCTTAGTTATCCCAGGTCAGCGTTACCCCAAATCACTCCTCATCTCCTGAGAAATTCTCTGCCAAAGTCACTTTGAAAATGTTCTTTTTTTGTTGAGTCATTTGTTCCTATGTTTTGAATAGGAGCCTGTTGTTTAAGAGAGGATTTCCCTGATTTCCTGCATCTTGTAGTGTAAAGGAAATATGAAATCTTAATAGATGCAAAGCTGTCTGGTATGCAAATGCCAGGGCTTTAACTAAAATAAGTACTAGACTCACTTTTACTTCTCCTGCTTATGTGCCCTTCTTCGAGACTGCTATCAGTAAGGGTCTGATGCTTGCAATAGACAGTACTCAAAAAATTTATTGTGTAAGTCCACTTCTGTGATGACATTTATGTGCCTGATTCCCACTAAAACAATTCATATTTAAATGTTTAGGTAGCTTGTAGAGTACGGACCTTCATTCACTCATACCTTGCATGTTTTAGAGATGTGTAAGAATTAAATTCTTTGTTCTGTGGAAGACAAATCATTCTGTATCATATTAAAAGGTCTAATTATTTTTCCATGACGGGTACTTTTAAAAAAAACCCCCAAATCTACAACCAATCAGTCAGTGTCTACACCCCTCCTTTTTTTTTTTTTTTTTTTTTGGACTGATAATTTCTGCTCCTCTAAGGGCTTGGTCACCAGTGTGCAGGATGCAAAATGCCTCCAGGTAGGCTTTTAATTTGCTGTTCTTCCATGGTTGCAGTGTGGAATATTTTGCATTCCATTATTAGAGTATACCTACCCAGTGATTCAGATGTTAAATTTTGCTGTCTTGCATTAGTTTTTTCAAACTGAAAATAAAAAAGGAGACAGAAATTTCAAAGGCAAAACCAAGGTGAAAGGCAAAATATGCTTTACACTTTTAGCAACAGATGGAAATCTGGACTAAGAGAATTGAACTTTAAATTGCATCAAAAAATGTCCAAGACCAAGATAAATAGCTTTCTCATTCAGATTTTATTTGAACCTGTCACAGAAAGCACACGTTTTCCATTCTCTTGGATTAAAGTATTAGTTTGAAAAGTATCCTAGTCCTACGCTGTTTGATATGACTTCTCTGAGGGATGAGTTTCCCATTTTTCATGCTTCCTGGGAATCTACAGTCATACAGGACTTTATTATCATACAGGATTTAATGTCCTAATAGTCATGCATACCAATATTTCTGGTTGCTGCGGGAACGTCGGAAGGATCTCACAGATGCATCTTGAAGTGTTACAGCTGACGAAAAACACGGCTCCGCGTGGGCCGTCACAGGCAAACCAGCTGGGTGTCCTCTTCTTCTTGTGTTCAGACCCTCTCTCTGGGCACTTGGGCCTTGACATTGACTTTTGCTGCCTCTCCCCATAGGCGTGGGTCTTCCGTAACAACTCTGTCACCATTAAGCAGCTAAACAGTCAACAGATGTAGAGCAAGTTGCAGACGTGGAGTAAGAATAAGAAGCCTACTGCAGTCAAATGAAATTCCCTAAATCGCTCTCCCAAGAGACAAAGGAAGGCTATGCAAGTGTTTTCCAGAGCAGTGGAAAAATTCAGCTTTTTCTGTTTCTTTACAATAAAAGTTTTGGAGAATATGAAAAAGTAGTAAAATGATGTTTCCTGCATAGTAAGAAAGCAGGATAGAAAATGAGACAAATTATTTATTTCTGTATTTAAGTGCTTGTAAAAAGTAGTGTGAGGCCATTTAAACTGAAAGATCCTCGTATGAGGAAGGTCATCACAATCATGTCCAGAGGAAAAAGGATATGAACAACATGTAAATGGTATATAATACAATAATGAATGAGACAAAAAGACCGTTTCTTTGAAGATAAATGAGTAATGACTTCATTTAAGGCTGGGGTCCTTCATTTACTCATGCATGTGCTTAAGTTAGATGGGATAATTCATGTGGTGACCCCAGTGAATAATATATAAATTTTAGTGGGATTGAGTCATGTTAAATTTGCACATTAAAGTACTGCTCAGAAATGTTATCTGATTTCCAGATATTAAGTCTACCAACTCCATTAGTTTCTCAAAAGTAGGTAGCCAGTGTACGTACCAGATGAAAAAGTCAAAACGCAAAATCTATATCACTATGAGGCTTAAACCGAGCAGTCTACATTTGGCAAAGTTATAACATGCCCACAAGAAAAAACGTTGTCTAGTTCTTATGTACAATCTATCCAAGGTGGCTGTTGTAAAGGCTGGTGTAGATTCATGGTTTTAATAAAGCTATTACCAAAATTTAGACATAATAGAACTTCTTCATAATAAAAAGAGAAACCTTATTTATTTTCCTGAGAACATAAAGCCCCATGATCTTATGCATCTCCTACTTAGGAAAAATTTTTTTGTAATATAGGTAATTATAAATAAATTTTATTCAGTTCTTGTTTTGCAGGGAACAAAGCCATTGCAAAGGATCATAATAATAGAAAAACCCTGTTTAAACTGACTCCACTTAAGTAAGAATGCAGTTTTTTTGCCGAGGAAAAACGAACACACTTGCCATGCGGCTGGTTAGTGTATCATCATACAAACACTTTAAGCTGCCTTGCAGTAAAATAAGCATTAAAGTCAGTATCATCCACCCACCCACTGCACCTGTGTGAGAACGTTTCTCCTTAAATTTGAGAATGGCGGGAGGATGCCCCGAGGGCTGGGGGAAAGGGAGCTGCCTGGGCGCTGTGCAGGGAAGCTCTGACTGATGGCCAGTGCTCTGTGGACCCTACAATGACTTTACAAGACTGGTGCATCAGCAGATAACTTTTTCTAAATATAAGTTGAGTCTTATGACTTCACTCGGCTCTTTTCCCTGCTCTGAGGTTGTCTAAAGGTGTGTATGGTTCCCTGCGTGATTTAAGCAACGTGGATGATTTTCATAGGGCATGAGCCAGGGAAATGTTGCTGCGTGGGTGGCAAGATTGAGCTGAGCTGACGAAGTGCCCCATGTGGCAGCTCCCCACCGGGTCCCCAAAAGACTGCTCAGGGCCTTTGTCACAGAAGCACGCGAGGATCTGCACGGGTGATGCCCCACGGGGTCTGGGAGGGGTTGGCAAACGCTTAGTTAATACAGTAGCCCAGAAATAAATGTCTGTCCAGACGTGTCGTGTGGGAGCCCCGCAGGGGACCCTGGGGTGCTGCCAACACGCCGAGGTAGGACAGCAGGGAAATACCGCAGGGGAAGGGGAGGACAAGCCGCAGGGACGGTGCGGCTGGGAGGACCGGCGTGAGCTGAGAAGCAGGGCCAGGAGAGGTGTGAGGCAGGAACCCAGCCCTTCAGTGCCCTCTTCTCTGGCTATGATTTTGTTGGTGGCTGCGTATGAAACCCATACATAGAGTGCTTGTGGCGTGTTGTCGTTGGAAAAGTGCCTGTGTTTTCATTTTAAGTAGGGTCCCTGCTCTGTAATTGCTTGTAAATACTCTCTATCAGTTATACGAGCCAGGCAGTACAGTAGGTTTCTTTTAGTGACTCCTGAAAAATAGAGTGAAGACTGTGACTAAACACCATTTACATTGCTTTTGCCATTCAGAGTACATATATGTTACAGCTTGCTTGAAAACAGAGGGCCAACATGAGCCCTCCCAACAGTGGCATGCAAACCCCTTGGACTGGGTTTGGCACCGGCAGCGCTGAAGCTGCAGTGCCGATCCAAAATACGTGTGCTGTCCAACGGCAGCGAGGTGCGGGCTCTTGCCAGCTGATGTCCATCAGCTCATGGTGTTCAGGGCTCGTGGGGGACCTCCGCTTTCCTTCGTACAGGTCCCAGTGTAGATTTGCAGAGCGTC